TGTATTTAAATATCTTAACCATTTTAAAGAAACTATTATGTTACGTAAATATTGATATCTTTGTCGGTCGAGTCATTGTATATAAATACCTTAACCATTTTAAAGAAACTATTATGTTACGTAAATATTGATATCTTTGTCGGTCGAGTTACTGTATTTAAATACCTTAACCATTTTAAAGAAACTATTATGTTGCGTAAATATTGATATCTTTGTTGGTCGAGTCAGTGTATTTAAATACCTTAACTATTTCTATCAAACTATTATGTTACGTAAATATTGATATCTTTGTTGGTCGAGCTACTGTATATAAATACCGTAACCATTTTAAAGAAACTATTATGTTACGTAAATATTGATATCTTTGTTGGTCGAATCATTGTATATAAATACCTTAACCATTTTAAAGAAACTATTATGTTACGTAAATATTGATATCTTTGTTGGTCGAGTCAGTGTATTTAAATACCTTAACCATTTTAAAGAAACTATTATGTTACGTAAATATTGATATCTTTCTAAGTTCTACATGCAACATTACAAAGCATAATTAAGAAGGATCTTCATCTAGAAAAGTATTTAAATACAATGACTCGACCGACAAAGATATCAATATTTACGTAACATAATAGTTTCTTTAAAATGGTTAAGGTATTTATATACAATGATTCGACCAACACGGTCTTTTCCTCTTATTTTTGTATGTGTTCATGGCTTCCCACCTGTTACAAGATGCCGCACCATGATTGTTATAGCTATCTTTCTGTGGATCAATATTATTTTGTTTTCTAGTGCTAGCAAGTGATCCTGTAAATGTTTAATCTCCGTCTGAACACATCTTTAACAGGCCATTCAAAGTATTCCTGTAAATGTTGAATCCCCAATCTGAACACATATTTAACAGGTGTGAATCTGTTTTTGTCGGAAAGGGTTGTTAGATACCCTTCCTAAAGGTGATCAATTTTCGGTGATATTGTGCTACCAACATAACGCGTAACAATATAAACATACAGTGTCGATATATGCCGTTTTACCGCGACTTTAAATTTACTGTAATTTGTCTCATTTTGATCATGTTAAATGAAAGGTTTTTCAATTTAAATCCAAATTGCTGCAGAACAATATAGAACTCTGATTGTTGGTGGAGTGGCTTGAAAACAATATGTTTTTGTTTTCTGAGCTGAATATACGAATTGCCGATATTTTACACATTTGAATATTTATTATTTATGTCAAGCCTTTGAAAATCTAGTTGGCGTAAGAACAATGAGTTTGAAAAGCGGAGTTAAAAACAATAGGCAATTTATCCATAGAGAGAAAATATTATAACGTGTATAACAAGGAAATCAATATAGTTTTTATAGCGAACAAAGACATGTAACGTATAATGACTTAAAACTCTAGACATGTGATAAACGATTTGTGAAAACAATTTTATCTTTGAGCACGTATTGTTCTTCAGTATTTTATAAAATATACATACATAAAGCAAAGAGCAGTATTACATAAAACAGTATTACATGGAGCAGTATTACATAGAGCAGTATTAGATACAACAGTATAACATAGAGCAGTATTACATACAATAGTATTATATAGAGCAGTATTATATACTATAATATTACATAGAGCAGTATTACATACAACAGTATTACACAGAGAATTATTAAATAAAACAGTATTACATATAGCAGTATTAAATACAACAGTATTACTTAGGGCAGTATTACATACAACAGTATTACATGTAGCAGTATTAGATACGACAGTATAACATAGAGCAGTATTACATACAACAGTATTACACAGAGAATTATTAAATAAAACAGTATTACATATAGCAGTATTAAATACAACAGTATTACTTAGGGCAGTATTACATACAACAGTATTACATGTAGCAGTATTAGATACAACAGTATAACATAGAGCAGTATTACATACAATAGTATTACATAGAGCAGTATTATTTACAACAGTATTACATAGAGCAGTATTTCATACAACAGTATTACATAGAGCAGTGTATCATAGATCAGTATTGCATACAACAGTATTACTTAGGGCAGTATTACATATAACAGTATTACATAGAGCAGTGTAACATACTAAAGTATTACTTAGGGCAGTATACATAGAGTAGTATTACATACGACAATATTGCATATAACAGTATTACCCAGGGTGGTATTACATACAACAGTGTTACATAAAGTAGTATCACATACAACAGTATTACATAGAGGAGTATAACATACTATAGTATTACACAGAGCAGTATACATAGAGTAGTGTAACATATAACAGTATTACATACAACAGTGTTAGATAGAATAGTATAACGTAGAGTAGTATTACATACAACAGTGTTACATAGAGCAGTTTTACATACAACAGTGTTACATAGAGCAGTATTACATACAACAATATTACATAGAGCAGTATTGCATAGCATTATTACTGAGAACAGTGTTACATACAACAGTATCACATAGAGCATTGTCACGTAAAACATTATTACATGGAACATTGTTACATACAACAGTATTACATCACCCTATTTTTAGCAGAAAACTTTAAATTTGAAGAAAGGTCTAGTAATGAAGGAGTGACAGGTTCATACCACTGTTGTAACAAAGTGTCTGGTGTAAAAATAGGATTTATATGCGTAGGATTAGGATGGATATTAAGATCAACAACAGAAAGAAACTATTAATACCAGACAAAAGTTTACATCTTAAGAAGACTCTAGTAGTGAAGGAATTTAAGGTTTGTGTTGAAGTATAAGATGTGACGACCAAGAAATTATAGTGTTGGGGTATAAGGTGGCGACTAACAGTTGGAGTATAAGACGTGACGACTAACAGTTTCTAGTGTTGGGTTATAAGGTGGCGACTAACAATTGGAGTATAAGACATGACGACCAAGAAATTCTAGTGTTGGGATATAAAGTGGCGACTAACAGTTGGAGTATAAGACGTGACGACCAAGAAATTCTAGTGTTGGGGTATAAAGTGGCGACTAACAGTTGGAGTATAAGATGTGACGACCAAGAAATTCTAGTGTTGGGGCGATAAGGTGGCGACTAACAGTTGGAGTATAAGACGTGACGACCAAGAAATTCTAGTGTTGGGGTATAGGGTGGTGACTAACGGTTTCTAGTGTTTGGGTATAAGGTGACGACTAACAGTTTCAAATTTGGTTTTTAACAGGTACCCACTTACGAATAATATGAAGATTTAAAATAATATCTTGAATGTTGTACGTGATCATGTCTCAGTTAGAGACAAAACGCAGTACATAAATGAATATATTATCCCTCAACAGTTTGTAGTATTGAAATTGAGTAAAGACGTGACTACTAAAAGTTTCCAGTGTTAGAGATGAGTTAAATAGTGAAAAATAACAATTTATGGTGTTGAAACTGAGTTAAAACAATTTCGCAAATACATAAAATGATGTTTTTATGGTCGGATTGAGGCATAATTAATCCTTTATCGACTATGTTTTTCATGAACGTGTTTTGTTACAAAGCCAACAGATCGGTTTAAATGTTTAGTACGTATTTCTTTACTGTGCTATTGTAAGGTAAGTTGGTAAAGTCTTTGCAGGTCTAGCAGTTGAGGTAGAAAAAAATTAATAAACTCTCTATCACAAGTGAATTGAAAAAATATTATTTATAGTGCAGAGTTTTTGTAACTTGCCAAACAACGAATTGTAAGAACAATGATGTTTAGTTTAGAAAACATGTAGAGATGTAGTAACTTATCAAACAACGAGTTATAAGAGCAATAATAGCAAGAATCAGCTATACGACGACTTTACAAAAACGTTTGGCTTCACTAAGTTAAAACTGACATTCTTATTTTATTTCCCTACAGAATTGAAGCGAGTAAGATGTCTGGTATTCATCTCCGAGTGGCAGTCGAAGAGGTAACCTCGATTTTTGTGAAATATAAAGATTTCTGATCAACATTAAGTTATATATATATATATAGAACTAAAACAAAGTTAATTTCTAACGTAAAAAAGCCATATTTTTATAAAAAACTGACTAGATATACTTATAGTAAAAAATCTGTACTACAGAAAACTAAAACCTAAAGTTAGTAAAAGCCATCGAAAAATCAGGGGATTTACTTTGTTACTACCAACATTTCAGAAGCGATTCCAGTAGAATTTTAACAATACTTCAGAAGAAATCCATAGCATATTATAACAATATTTTAGAAGTAATCCATAGCATATTATAACAATATTTTAGAAGTA